GTGAATTACTCGCCATTAAAAGAAAACGAAATCTAAAATATGAACAAAACTACTGAAGAAAAAAATCTACTATGTTTCTTGTTTTTTTCTTTTGTTTTTTGATAATATGCAAAGAATAATGTATACAAATGTCTTTCAAATCTATCATTTTAAGTCAATTCCATCAATTGTTTTTTTTTTCGTTTAATAAGCATAAATTTAATGTTAATCATTTAGTTGCAACAATATTTTTCGCTATTGTATTTTTTGGTTCAGGTCGCCGTAATAAACCTTGACACCATTCACTACTACGAACCAACCAAGGATTATTCGTTGGATAAGATTCACCAATTCGATTCGTATTCAAAACATTACCAATTGAATTGAGATTTGTTTCAGCATAAGTAATGAATAAAGATTCAATAGTAAAACGAAACATATCTGAACAAGTTTCTGGTACTGTATAGAAAGGAAATACAAAATATGTTTCAATCATAAATATCTATTTTTGAATAATATTGATTAACTTACATACAGCTACAATAGTAGCATTGTATAAATCAATATGTTGATTTGGTAGAGTTTGATCTCGTGTCTTATGAAAATATTGTGTTTGTAACATGATTTGTCGATTGGAAAAAGCGAAACCATACGATGGTTTTGGAACAGCTTCAACATACAATTTAGTATCTTCTTTTGATCGTATAGTCCAACTAAGTTCTTCAGTAGAAGTATATGGTGCAACGATTTTTTGTTCAGGTCTTTCTGATTCTTTTAATGTCATTGGTACAAATCGCCAATATTGTGGATTAGCATCTAAAAATATTTGCATAGCCACTGGACAATGTGTTGAATGTTGATAAAGTTTCATACGATCTTTTACTATAATTCTAAAATTAATAAAATATTAACATTTGAAAAATTTGCTGTTATACATACTCCTTTAACTTTCCTCGTGGAAAATCACGTAGAATATTTTCTTGTCCTATTAAAAATTCATGTATGATTCGATTCCCATGCTCGCGATGTTCTATATAATATACATTATATTAAAAAAAAACAACAAATATGTACTTATTAAACGATCATGTAAACTATTTGTTGTTGCACCAATATATTCAAATTTACCACATGGACATATTAACGCATAAATAATATTTCGTGTATGACATGACTACAAAAAACAAATAAATTTTTTTTTATACTAAACTTATCGAAATAATTCTTTGGAAACATACTGCTGAACAATTTAAAATGGCTTGATATCCATTAAGAAATGTATATTTATGAGCTTGACTAAATTCAATAATTGATTTTTTCGATCGATATTTCATATCATATTGAGGATAACATAATGCACAATTACCACATGCAGCTAATTCATAACGAGCTTCTGGTTCTTGTAAACAAAAAAGACCTTCATTTAATGTACGAGGGCGAGCATGACGAAATGAACATGTTTTCATATAGAACATATTCACTAGAAAAGAATCAATACGAAATGAAGAGTAAGATACTATTAAGAAAAAATATACCATCAAATTGTAAAAAGAATTCTAATGCAATAGGATATTCTTTTTCATCGATTCGTTGAATTTCATGTGCTCGTAGTTTAAATACACGCATTTGTTCACAAGCTAACATTTTCATATATTTATTTAAACGTGTATAATTATAATCCAAAATAGATTGATCAACTTTTAACCGTTCAAGTAAATCACCAAAATACATATAGGACTTTTCACATATAAATGATTGTATATTTGAATCATTTTTTACAATATTGAATGCGGGCTTGAAAGTTCCACTACGTCGTCGAATCAATTCTTCTTGATTTAGTTTATGAGCTGAAAAGAATTTTCCAAAAAAGACAAAAAAAAAGATTTTGTATCATTTTCTTATCTCGGGTCTCTTTGTACGTACGTGGTATATTCGACATTAATGGATAGCCATTTTGTTGTTTGTTATTTGTTGGAAACCACGGTAATACTGGTAATCGACGTTGAATATTTGGAAATCGTTCATTTATTTTACTTAAATCTATTGTTTCATGGACGACTATTGGAGAGAGTATTATTTCATCTGTATTAAAATTTGGTGTACATAAATCAATTATCTCAACAGTTTCGATAATATCCATATCCATTCTTTTTGGTGCCTATATGAAGGAAAAAAAAATTCAACAAAAGTTTCAATCAATATTTCTGTTGCGAAAGTTATGACTACCAGATTGAGTGTAGTAGGACGAGTTAAATTTCCTGGTTTTTTTTCCATTGGCAAAACAGAAACAAACTAAAAAAAACTAGGAATGAAGAAGATCGAAAATGATTTAATATAGATTGAATACAAATATGATTTTGTCACTTAAGCAAAGTTCATCGAAACAAAAAAAAAGTTGAAAGTAATTAAGAACAGACCTGATAAAGAATGTTGAATATTGATGCAGTTGTATTTGTCAGTAGAATTCACAGTAAAAGTTTGGATGTAACTGCTATTGAATTAATACACTGAATAAATTCATCACAAGCAGAGCAGGCCTATTTATATTTGGAGAGCGAGCGAGCATAGACGACAACAAATCTCGACAATAAATCATATCAAACGTCACTAATCTCTTCCATATTACAATTAACTATTACACTTGACAACAAATGTTAACAACAAATGAAGACAACAATACTAT